GGACCCCCGCTCCCGCCCGAGACGTCCTCGCATTTTATTCAGGAATCGCGCTCTCGCTTGGGACTTCCTGACAATGTATTCAGGAATCGCTCTCCCGGCGCTCTGGAGTCGCGCGCTGGAGACTTGCTTGCAACTTACTGAAGAATAGCCTTGCGTTGGAATTTCTTGCAATTTGCCCAAGCGCCGCGCTCCCGACACCCAGGCACCCAGGAGTCGCGCCCGTTGTGGCCCCATGTGCATGCCCTTCGTGGCCCCGCTGTCGCCATTTGTGTCCCCCTCACTGTCCTACGTGGCCCAGTTGCTACCCTCAGTGGCCCCATAGTTGCCTTCTGTGGCCCCGCATTATCTGCACTTCGTGGCCCCCGCTCGTTCGCGCTCTTCGTGGCCCCATACGCATTCCCTTCGTGTCCCCGCTGTCGCCCTTCGTGGCCTACTTCGTGCCCTTCGTGGCCCTGCTGTCGTTCTCTCTCGCTCTCGCTTTCGCTCGTCGTCGCCGTCGTCGTCGTCGTCGTCGCCGTCGTCTTCGACGTCGTCGTCGTCGTCGTCGTCGTCGTCGTCGTCGTCGTCGTCGTCGTGGTCGGTCCCCTGTCCGTTCCTCTTGCGGTCGGGTCGACGGTCCGCGGCCGCCCCGCCGATCAGCGCTGCCGCTGGCCAGGCCGACGGTCCGCGGCCGCCCCGCCGCTTGCCGGGACCCGGCCTGCAGGGAAGAAAGGCATACCCCCCAAAAGGGGTTCGATCGAGGACGAAGAGGGCGGGTATCGAGGGTTCGGGAAATACGCGTTATTGGACACTCGAGCATATAAAGGCGAACGGTCTTGAAATGATTATTGTTGTTGTTGTTGTGGTTGTTGTGGTTGTTGTGGTTGTTGTTGTTGTTGTTGTTGCTGCTGTTGTTGTTGTTGAACATTATTAATTCTAAAGAATAATTATTGTTGGGACCCCTGGTGCACGGCCCCCCCTTCGCCGCCTAGGCCGCAGCTACATTTTCATCACTTTCGTGAGGAAGCCTCAGGTAATACGATGTCATCAAGATCCGGTTGTTTTGTTGTAATCCGTTTTCCCTTGCAAAAAACACTATAAAATGACATTTCTTGTTCTAATATAATCAAATTTCAAGAATCCCTTGCAAAAAATAAGGTAAAGTGGACATTCGCGCGCGCAAGACGAAATCCTTCCAAAAGCTTAGTGTTCGGAGCGATTTTAACATAAAAACATCAAAAAACCAATGGTTTTTCAACAAAAAAATGTCAAAATCTCATCCCGCGCGCTCTTGCGGATTCGTAGGAAACCCAACACTTTTTAAACATTTCTGTCAAACGGGCTTTTGCGAGCAACTTTTTCGAACTTCTGCGACAACGGTTGCGCACCTGCCAGGGCCATCATCCCTGTCAAATAATACCATGCGGGACACATTCGTTTTTTCTTCGCGCGCGCACGCCGTCGTCGTCGGCCGCGGGGCCCTGAATAGTAGCCACGGTCGTCCGCATGCCACGAAGTGAAGTGTCCGAACGTCATAGGGCGGGAAGCTGGGTGTGGGTGGTGGCGAAGAGTCGTTTGGAAATTTGGTAGAGCTTGAACCGGCCCCCCCACAAAGTGGGGGTATTGCCCGCCTCCTATGAAAACCCTGGCACTGGTGAGAACGGAGTGTCCCCACGTGCTAGTTGTTGTTGTTGTTGTTGTTGAACATTATTACTTCTAAAGAATAATTATTGTTGGGACCCCTGGTGCGCGACCCCCCTCCAAAACCTAGGCCGCAGCTACATTTTCATCATTTTTTAGCGAAAGCTTCAGAAAAGTGAATTATTACCGGATCCGGTTGTTTTGTTGTACTCCGTTTTCCCTTGCAAAAAACACTATAAAATGAAAATTCTTGTTCTTACTTGATCAAATTGCAAGAATCCCTTGCAAAAAATAAGGTAAAGTGGACATTCGTGCGCGCAAGACGAAATCCTTCCAAAACCTTAGGTTTCGTAGCGATTTTAACATAAAAACATCAAAAACCCAATGGTTTTTTAAGAAAAAATTGTCAAAATGTCCTTCCGCGCGCGCTGTCCGAATCCCACAAAACCAATGGTTTTTCAACATTTATGTTACATGAGCTCGCGCGAGCTACTTTTTCTTGTTCTAACATAATCAAATTTCAATAATCCCTTGCAAAAAATAAGGTAAAGTGGACATTCGCGCGCGCAAGACGAAATCCTTCCAGAACCTTAGGTTTCGTAACGATTTCAACATAAAAACATCAAAAACCCAATGGTTTTTCAAAAAAAAATGTCCAAATTTCATCCCGCGCGCGCTGTCCGACTCCCACAAAACCAATGGTTTTTCAACATTTATGTTACATGAGCTTGCGCGAGCTACTTTTTCTTGTTCTAACATAATCAAATTTCAATACTCCCTTGCACAAAAAAAGTAAAGTGGACATTCGCGCGCGCAAGACCAACAAAAAACAAGACGATCTCAGGAACTTGCCCCAAAAATGTGACCAACTCCGCTCTCTCTGTCTCTCTCTCTGTCTGCTCTCTGTCTCTCTCTCTGTCTGTCTGTGTCATGTATTGTATGTCACAATTGCAGGATGCTGGGCACACGCGCGCCCCGAATAAGTGACCAAGTTCTGTGGGTGTGTACCCCACGCCAGTGTAGTAGCCACGGTCGTCCGCACGCCACGAAGTGAAGTGTCCCAACGTCATAGGGCGGGAAGCTGGGTTTGGGTGGTCGCGAAGAGTCGTTTGGATATTTGGTAGAGCTTGAACTGCCCCCCCACGAAGTGGGGGTATTGTCTCGCGTCGCATGAAAACCCTGGCACTGGTGAGAACACTGAGCGTTCGGGTAAAATGATTGTTGTTGTTGTTGTTGTTGTTGGGGCCCTCTTGGGGCTCTTTTGGGGGGTCTGGGGGCCTTCTTGGGACTCTTTTGGGATGCCTGAGGGACCTCTTGGGGCCGTCTTGGAACCTTTCGCTTAAAAAGAGGGGGGTCCAATTCCCATCGCCCCCTCGGAGGCTCAATAATGCCGTCTTGGGGCCCTGTTGGGCCGCTCTTGGAGCGCTCTTGGGCGCTCTTGGGGCCGTCTTGGGGCTCTCTTGGACCCTTCTTGGGGCCATATTGGGCCCTCTTGGGACCTCCTTGAGGCCTCGAGAGCCCATCGGAGGCGAAAAAGCGGGAAGGCACAAAACATTGATTTTCCATAGGTTTTTGAAGGATGTTGGCCTTTTGGGGCGGTCCTTGGAGGCCTTGGAGGGCACTTGAAACCGTCTTGGGGCCGTCTTGAGGCCTCTTGGACGTGTGTCGGAGGCTATTTTGATTCATCTGCCGCTATCTTCGACCATTTTGGAGGCCATCTTACGCTCTCTGAAGCCCTCTTGGGCCCATCTTGGACCAAAAAGGACCCTCTGCCACCTCGCGGGGGGGCCCGTCCAGACGCAGGGAGGGGGGGGAGGTAAACCTCCCGAACAGGAAAGGCAGGAGGTTGGAAAAGGAAACGCTCTAGACCACCTGCGCCCAGAGGGCTGGTGCGATTATGTAGTGGTGGTAGTCGTAATACAGGATGCCGAGTGGGTGCAATTTTGAAGTATGCGCGAGGCAGTTTGTCGCTAGGCGGCCAGACCCGGCAGCGCAAATCGCCCAAGACCAGCGAAGCGTATATTGGTTCAGTCAAGGAGCGGGGTCCGAGATCGAAGCTTTGGCAGTTTTTCATTGCGGTCAGCTTTTGTGAGTTCCTCCCCCCTCGCGAGCACCTTTTCAAGACGAGGCGGACTGACGCGACCTGGTCCGTTGGCAGAGAATTTGCAGGGACACAGGGTTCGTCTCAATCCCCGTCCCCGTCCCATCCTCGTCCAACTCCTCCTTCTCCTCCTCCTCCTCCTCCCCGAAGTCGTCTCCTCCTCCTTCGCTTTTTTTTGTGTGCGGCAGGAACAAATTCCCTGTCGCGCCCCCAGACGCGCTGGTAGGGCTGGCCAAGCGTTTCGCGTGAGAATTTCTCACCATCTGTGGCCCAGAAGCTTCACGGGTGGATGGCTGATCGCTTTCAACGCACGGGTTCCCGCCTTAGCGCCGCGTGCCTCCGTCTTGAGAGCGTGTGACAGTTTCACGGATGGGGGGCGTGTGGTTTTCACTTTGCGGTCATCATTCTAAGCGCCGCGCGCCTTCGTTTTGAAACAATTGCAACGGCTTCACTGGTGGAACATGTTTTCCCCAAGCTGTAGCTCTCTCCTTAGCGCCGCGCGCATTCGTTGTGAACGTATGCAACATGTGGCTTTCGCCCTGGCGCCGCGCACACTCGTTTGAACGTTTGCAACAGCTTCATGGATGGAGGGCTGCTGGTTTTCAAAAACGGTTTCCGCTTTAGCGCTGCGTACATTCGTTTCGAACGTTTGCAACCATTTCACCGATGGTGGGCGGTGCCTTTCCAACACGGTGTTCTCACCTTCTCGCCGCGCACTGTAGCTTTAAACGTATACAACAGGTTCAAAGGGGTCGTCTGGTTGAAATCCCAGGGATTGTTTTTTGACATGAGTTGTGACTGTCAGGACGCAGCGGTCACGTTGACCCGCGGTGCTGGGGTCCCAAGAATTGCCTTTTGGCACCATTTGGAATGTTCAGGGCGCAACAGTCACGTTGATTCGCGGCGCTGGCGTCCCAGGAGTATTGTTTTCGCGCAGTTGAGGGGTATTAAACGGTTGTTTCCCAGTGCGGCGCTTCATTCCCACATTGAGAAGCAAATCCTGTAAGAGCTCGCGGAGGGGGAGTCTGGAGGTAGAGTTTGCTGCAACCTCATTGTTGCGTTTGGGGTGTACACTGGTTCTCTTCCGGTTTCTTATGCGTCTCGTGCTTTTCGTCCTCCTCCTGTTCCTCCTGTTCCTCCTCCTCCTCCTGCTCCGATTCCTCCTCCTATTCGTCGCCCATTTTCGGTCCTCCGTCCTCTTCAGTTTGTTCTTCCTCCGTCCTCATCCCGCCCCCCCCCGTCATTCATTCGTGGCCTCCTCTCCCCTCCGCGCCCCCAGGCGGCTGCCGCAGCAGCCGACGGGGCCTCCGCGGTTGCCTCCGCGTCAGACGGCCAGGCTTGCGTGGTGGTGGTAGGGGGGGGAACTGCTGCCAGCGAGTTCCCCAATCACGACCCGAAACTTGTAGACAGCATGAAAGCGGGACGGGGGAGAGGTGATGGGGGCGAGGGAGGGAGGGAGGGAGGCGGAGGCGGGGGGGGGGAGGGGGGGAGAGGGGGGCGGGGAAAAGGGAGGCGAGGGGAGGTCATGTCGAGAGAGGCAGCGAGGAGGACTGGGAGGGATCGGTTCGGGAAGACGATGGCGATGTTGATGCTGATGATGATGATGACGATGCTGATCACAATGATGATGATGATGATGATGATGATGATGATGATGATGATGATGATGCTTATTCTTATTCTCATTATTATTCTCATTATTATTACTACTAGTATGATGATGGTGATGATGATGGTGATGGTGACGGTGGTGATGGTGATGGTGATGATGATGCTGACGATGCCGATGACGATGGTGATGAGGATGGTGATGGTGGCGATGCTGATGATGTTGATGATGATGCTGATGATGATGATTATGATGATGATGGCGATGATGATGCTGATGATGATGGTGATGATGACGACGATGTCGATGCTGATGATGTTGATGACGGTGCTGCAACCTGATGATGGGGATGTTGATGACGATGATGGTGGTGCTGATGATAACGACGACGGACGACGACGATGTTGATGATGATGGTGGTGATGGTGGTGATGATTCTGGTGATGACGATGATGACGACGATGATGATGACGATGATAACCATGATGCTGACGACGATGATGATGATGACGATGATAACCATGATGATGATGATGCTGTTACTGGTGATGATGCTGATGGTGATGGTGATGCTTAAGACGATGATGATTCCGAGATGTTGATGATGATGATGGTGATGACGCTGATGATGGTGATGATGAGGACGATGTCGATGCTGATGATGTTGATGAGTATCATGCTGATACTGATGCTGGTGCTGATGCTGATGCTGATGATGATGTTTGTGGTAGTGATGGTGATGGTGACTATGACGATAGTGATGGTGATGATGATGTTGATGTGAATCGCCGATGCGATTGATGCTGAAGTTGGTGATGATACTGCTTGTGATAACGATGAGGATGATGCTGATGGTGATGATGACGATTATGATGACGCTGATGCTGATGATGATGATGATCATGATGTTGCTGCTGCTGAATAAGACGAACCTGATGATGGGGATGCTGATGACGATGATGGTGGTGCTGATGATAATGACGACAGTGACTACGACGACGATGATTTTGATGATCATGATGATGATGGTGATGGTGGTGATGATTCTGGTGATGGCGATGATGACGACGACGATGATGATGATGACGATGATAACCATGATGATGACGAGTACGAGGATTACGATCATAGCCATGATGCTGGCGACGATGATGATGCTGATGCTGATGCTGATGATGATGTATGTGATGATGATGATGATGACGACGATGATAATACTGATGACGACGATGATGATTCCGAGGTGGTGATCACGACGCCGATGATGATTATGATGATGATGATGCTTATGACGATGATAATGATTATTATGATGATGATGCTGATGCTACTGCTGCTGCTGCTGCGGATGATGATGATGATGATGAGGATGATGATGATGATGAGGACAATTATGATGTTGCATGATGGTGGTGATGCTGATAATGATTATGATGAAAGTACTGCTGCTGCTGATCACGATGATAAGGAATAGGAGGTGGACGATGATGTCGGTTGTAATGATGAGGATGAGGAGGGGAGGACGGCACCAGTGCGCCGTTATATTGACACTTAATGCGCCTACCAGGCAAGGGGATATAGCATTGGCTTGTGCCGGCGTGGACCGTGGCGAAGCGCCCAGACGCCCGCACGAGGCATTATCCCCGCCTGAAGATCGATAATTGGGCGGGCCTTGAGGCCACACTGCAGACGAATGTCCGCACCGCTCCTGATCCTCACTTCCTCTGGCACGTGGAGGGGGCGGGGCAAGCGAAGGAAAGGGCTAGACCAAGCGGGTGGGGGGAACGGTCGGGAATGGCAAGTGGAGGGGGCGAACGGGCGGGGGCGAATGCCAGCCACGTGGAGGGGGCGAATGGGCGTGGGGGCGGGGGGAGAGAGTGAGGATGTCACTGGCGAGCTCCTTGACGTCGCGAGCGCGAGTGCGGGTTTTTTATGTCTCGGTGAGGCTGAGGTTGAACTGAAGCCCATCTGTATGGGAGGATATTTGTTGGAGGCTTCTACGTCAACGCTCGTGTATTGGAACAGGGGCCTGCCCATCCGCTGTGCCAATCATGCAAAGGCAGTTCAGTTGAAAGACAGCCCCACGAATCCGCAAAGGCTTCAAGATATCCTAGCTGGTGCCATCAGAACTCGTCCGTGAAAGCCTTCGCGGCGGAGGTCTTGACGAAAGACTTGGCCGGCCTCGCTTGGGGCAGGCTTATGGTGCACATTTGAAAGTCGTGCTCCCCGCCAACCTTTCGCCCAGCGTTTGCTGCGGATTTTCTCTGAAAGATCCTACCCCCGTCTCCTCCTGTGCCTCCGCCTCCTCCTCCTCCTCGTCATTGTTCTCCTTCCTCCTCTTTCCAGCCGCGCCTCGCGACTTTGATGACAACGCGAGTGGATTCGCAGTGTCAGCTGATGAGTGACATGTGCGTGGCTTGTCGAAGGACGTATCTCGTGGCTCAGGGGGGAAATTATCCCAGGGAGTTCCGACCCGAAGGGTTCCTGGTTGCCCTGGTAGCCCTCTCCAGCTGTTTTCGGCGCGCGCGCTGGCATCACAGATTCTACCATACAGAAAACCACATCGAACTATCGTTCGACTGGGAGTTTTCAGAACGTGCCCTCTGGAGGTGTTCTGAATGCCCAGGTTTTTCCTCACCCTCCTCCAGCAGTAGCGGCCGTGAGCAAGTTTTGCATGGCGGCAGGCCCAGCTGAGCATACATGAGCCCCTGGCGATTGCCCAGGCACTGCAGCAGGCTCAGATCCAGCGACAAGCGGTTGCCGAACAGGCTGAGAGGCGCGACAGCGAGCTGCGGGAGGCTCCACTTCTTTTTTTTTGTGTGAGCTCTCCACTGTGCGGCTGCCAGTGTGCTCGCCAGTGCGGCCATCCTCCCCCCAGCTCTCCTGCTCCCTTCCTCCCGTCCTCCCTCGACGAAGACTGTCGACGTCGACGTCGACGTTGTCTCTCCTGCTTCGCCTCCTTGTCCTCCCCCTTATCGTCCCCCCCCTTCACCCTTTGGACGGCGTTCCCTGGGCATCTCCTCGGTGGGGCGGCCCTCGCGAAGCGGACCCGATGGCCGACATGGCCCCTGAGCTTTAGACAGTCCCCAATCAGGTGCTGCCTCCTGCATTCCGTCGGGTCCGTACACGCGTTCTCCTGGCCAGCCTAAAATATTGCGTCATGCATTCCACAGTGACCGAGATGGTACGTCCAGTCGATCAGGATCAGGAGCACGTGGACAGGAAGGTAAGGGAGGCAGGAGGTTTGATGGGTGGTAGGACAGGAGGGCATGGTGGAGGAAGAGGAGCAGGATGAGGCAGAAGAGCAGCAGGAGGAGCAGGAGAGGGAGGTATGATGGCGGAGGCCGAGGGGGAGGAGGAGGAAGAAGAGGAAGAGGAAGAGGAGGAAGAGGAGGAGGAGGAGGAGAAGGAGGAGGAGCCATAATAGGAGGATGATGAGGGGGCGGTGAATGATAGCGAGGGGTGATGATGACGATGATGATAATAATGGTAATGAAAATGATGATGATGAGGATGATGATGATGATGATACTGATGATGATGCTGATGATGCTGATAATGCTTGTAATGATTATGATGATGATACTGATGATGCTGATGATGAGAACGACGACGATGCTGATGACGATGATGACGATGATGACGACGACGAGTTCGATGACGAGTTCGATGACGATGGTGATGATGATGCTGATGATGATGATGGTGACGATGGTGATGATGGTGCTGATGCTGATGATGCTGATGACGATGATGATGGTGATTATGATGACGAGCATGGTGATGATGGTGAATATGCTGACGATGATGATGGTGAAAATGATGATGATGCTGATGACGATGATGATGATGGCGATGCTGATGATGATGCTGCCGATGATGATGCTGCTGATGATGATGTTGATGCTGATGTTGATGATGGTGATGATGATGATGGTGATGATGATGATGACGATGCTGCTGATGATGATGATGTTGATGATGATACTGATGATGATGATGATGATGATGGTGATGTTGGTGGTGGTGGTGATGATGATGATGATGATGATGATGCTGATGATGATGATGATGATGATGATGATGATGATGATGATGATGATGATGATGATGATGATGATGATGGTGGTGGTGGTGGTGGTGGTGATGGTGGTGGTGGTAGTGATGGTTGTGGTGATGGTGATGGTGCTGATGATGAGGAGGAGGAGGAGGAGGAGTGGAAGGAGAAGGAGGAGGAGAAGGAGGAGGATAACGAGGGAACAGGAGCAGCATGCGGGTGCAGCTGCAGCGGCATGCGTGCCAGAGGCACGCTGCCTCCGCGCGTAAGGCCTTGCAGCAGATGAGGGAGCTATCGCGGGAGACGTCCGCTTTCTATACTTGTCCTCCTGTTTTAGTGACAGCGTTGCTGTTTTAGCATGATGCTGTTGAGCCTCCTGTTGGCAATACTCAGCCATGCTGCTTCTCCTCCTTCTCCTCCTCCTCCTCCCCCTCCTCCCCCTCATCCCCCTCATCCTCCACCACCTCCTCCTCCTCCTGTTTCTTTCAAGCCAGGCTTAACTGAATAGTCGGTGCAGGGTGCTCCCCCTCGGGCAGTCCACTCAATTTCCTTCCACTCTAGTCCAGTCCATTCCATTTCATTCCATTCCAGTCCTCCTCCGCCTCCTCCTCATCCTAGCTGCCCGTCTGCGCATCCAGGCTTGGAGTCCTCCTCCTCCTCCTCCTCCTCCTCCTTCCATTTGCTCGTTGTGGCGCTGCCAAAGGGCTCCCCCACCACTCGGCTCGAGCATGGCCTGGTCCCGAGGACCCTGCGCCGCCCGCGCGTCGCTGCGCGTGTGCCACCGTGCCGAGAGGGCACATCGGGGAGGCCCACGTGGTGCGGGCCGCCGCGCGCGTGGCGCACGCCGCCGGCGGACGCGGCGGATGCGCGGTGGGCAGGGGCCGGGGGGGGGGGGCCCCCCAGACGGTGTGGAGCCCACACCGCGTGGCGAGCCAGTGGGGCTTCGGGGTCACCGCACGGTTTTGGGGCTCGGGCCGCGCCCCGAGGGCGTCTCGGGCGACGGGGGCCTCCAGGGTCCCCATGGCCGTGCGGTGACGGGCCGCGCGGTGAGGTCGTCGGGGGGTCCGAGGTCACCGCGCGGTGCGTCACCACGCAGGGGCCCCGAAGGAGCGAGGGGCCATCTTGGGGGGTTCTGTTCGATGGTCGCTTCCCTTTCTGGCGGCGAGATCCGAACCCTGCCCTCGCCGATCAAACATTCAGGCACCTCGACGTGCGGCTGCGGCATGGTTCGAAAGGTCTCCTGGCGCCGCCTCTGGCGCCGCCTCTGGCGCGCTCCGCGCGTCTGGGAGGGGGGTCCAGCACCGATCCAAGAAATCTGCGCGCAGCTCCGAAAGTCTGCGCTTGCGGAGTTTTTGTGCTGCCTCTACGGGCGCGCGTGGGCAGGCATCCCCGAGCGAGGCGCGCTCACTCGCCGCGGCGAGGAGCCGCTGCCTCCAGCAGGTCGCGGCAGCGGCCAGCGAAGGCGGCTGCAGCCCTCGCCGCTGCTCTCGCCGCCGTCGGCCCGCGAACCGCTGGCCACACCTCCCGGGAGGGTCCGCCGCCCGCTTCGGGCCATCAATATGTCGATGGGCCCAAGCCCAAGCAGGGGGAGGCCAACGAGGAGTCCACCGGCGACGAGCGGATGGAGGAGGTCAGTGAGGCCTAGGATCGGGATGGATCGCTTCAGAGTGCTCCGGAACGCGCTCAGAGTGTTCCGGTTACGCTCCAGGACGTCCGCGGCGTCCGACACATCTTTCAGAACCGCCGGATCTCAGAGATCCCCGATTTATCCCGATCCGATTCTGTTCCGTGCTCGGCTTAGCTGTAGGAGGGGGCGCTGGATGCCAATCGTACCGTCGAGCGAGAGCGGCTGTGCCAGAGGGCGTTGAGGTCTCACACGTCGGACCTCGCCTGCGACGACGCCTGGGACGTCCACGCCGGCGATGAGCTCGCGCCGTGCGCTCCGCAGGTGGCCTCGGTATCCTGGAGCTTGTGCTGCGGATGCCTCCTCGGGTGCTCGCCTGGCGCTTGCCACTCGGCGTCGCGCAACCGATCCCCATCCACACCGAGCCATGGCATCCCGGCCCCAGCATCCCAGCCCGCCAGTTGGGGATGGGCGACGGGCCCCAAGGAAACCCGAAGGAACCGGCACGTACCCTCAGTGGTGCTAAGGCCACGCCAACGGTGGATTAGGGATCGGCGAAACGATGCTCAACCACGTTCTTGGAACGAAGCAACCAACGATGGCTCATACTATAACAAGACAGGACGAAATGGAGCAGCTCAGAAGCAGCATGTCTGCAGCGCGCACAGCATGTAACGCCAACGGTCGAGGGCATCCGCCACTAGGATCAATGGCTCTGGCCCGCCTGCGTTGGCCTCCTAGGCGTTGCCGCGGTGCTGAAAACGTGTACTATGACTTCGTGATCGTGTGGCCAGTGTCACCACGCTGCTGTTCCCGATCGCCCTGTGTTACCATGTTGCCGTGCCACATCGTTGCATAGTATGAGTGGCGAGTTGTCAGATCGACGTTGCCGCTCGCGTGTAGTCAGCCCAAAAGCATGCAAGTCCAGGTGATCGGTTTGTGTGCTCTTTCCCAACTCTGGCTCTCCCGCGTTCCTCCTGACTCTCGGCATGGGCGGTGCAGCGCTGCTTCGGCACGGGTCGTTGCTTCGGCATGGGCGGTACAGTGCTGCGTACATCCCCGTGAAAAACAGTATAGCAAAAGTGGCACAGGGATGTAAGCCAAAACGATGTTGAATCAGACCAGGCGGGGCCCGTCACATCAAGCGACGTCCGCCTGCCAACGTTACGGAAGAGCGTTTCGTCTGCACCGCGCGGTGCATGTCAGCCGTCCGACTGTGGGAACGAAGGCGCAAGGCAAAACGCGGAACCGCCCACGCCGGCGGCTCTGTGAAGGATTAGCGTGGAAGAGCGCCTGGGCGTTAAGTGGCATTCGCCTCCTACTGTTGCCACCGGGCGCGCAAGCCAAAGCAAAGCATATCGATGAGCTGGCCCATGGTGCGTGCCTGCGCACGCTGCCAACATGGAAAGGCGAGTCTCACTTAATGATCCTCTTTGGACATTGCCCTCTGTAGGCCATTCAAGATGATCGCCTTGTTGACGTTGTTATATTTTCAGTATCGGCCTTCACAATTTTCGATTGGGGTTGCGAATCTGCTTCGCGATCGCTTTCCACTTGGCTTGTGATGCGGACGACACGCGCGCGAGCAAACTCCGCTTTGATGCTGTGTTCTGCGAGGAAAGCGTTCCTCCTGCCTCTCACTCCTTGCCATCACCCCTCCTGCCGCCCCGCCCTCCCCCTTTCTCGCTCCCTCCATCCCGCCCCGCCTCGGCTTCCACTACCCCTCCTCCTCCCCTTCCCTCTCTTCTGCTCTTCCTCCCCTTCCCCTCCCAAGCCTCTCGGCCCATTTCCTCGCTATCCCAGGCCCTAGGCCATGCGCGTCAGCCGATCCATGCTCAAGACAGGCGAGGTATAGCGTTTGCAGAACATGATAGATCAAATCTGAGTTTGCAGCATGGGTCGAAGGAAGCACATGGATAAATCATGCAGCGCCCAGAATGTTCCCGTCTGACTCCGCTGCGGCTTTCCCATGCTCGTCTGATCCACAGCGCGCGAAGCCCACACCCGAGGGACACGTGGAGGACGAACTGATGCTTCTAAAGCAGTCGTTGGCGCCGGCGACGGATGTGGGCAGCTGCGGGTGACCTGTTTGACGACACATGTTTTCTCGCTCTGCCCTTTCCCGCTGCATCGTGTGAAGCTGGCGCCACAAATTTGTTTGCTTGCTTTTCTCTTTTCACAGCGTGGCTCAGAGGTCTGACTTCCATATTCGCGATCGGCTTCCCATTCTGAGTCGTAAACTGGCTGTCCCGAGGCTTGGCGAGGTCCCCTGGAGGCCGAAAGCGGGCAAAAACCTTCCGTCATGATTTTTGGCACGACGCGAGCATGTTTGGAGCTAGATTTCGCCAAAGCGCCAGAGATCTGAGTCCTGCTCTCGTCAGCGCCCCCCGACGCCCCGGCCGAGGAATGCGAACAGCTGAAGTTCCGCCTCTCCCTCGAGCGGGAGGCCCAGGGGACCGAGCGCAGGAGGACACGGCGCGGAGCTCGGGAGGGTGAGAGCGAGAGGGCGTCTGTAAGCAGCTGCCCAGGCGCGCCCGTGAGCGTGCAGGAGCCCACGGATCATGCGAGCAGTGCGGCGCTGGGCCGTACGAGGGAGGGAAGGAGGGAGGGAGGGTGGGAGGGAGGGAGGGAGGGAGGAGGGGGAGGAGGAGGAGGAGGAGGAGGAGGAGGAGGAGAAGGAGGAGGAGGAGGAGGAGGAGGAGGAGGAAGAGGAGGAGGAGGAGGAGGAGGAGGAGGAGGAGAGGGACCAGTGCAAACCCAAAACGCGTCCACGGTGTTGCTAGGAACCCTCCTTCCAAGTTATTTTTTCCCATATCTTCCTATGATAATTTATTTTCGCTGCAGGATGAAAAAGACAACTCTGTGATAATTTACAATCGTGCCAAAACGCCGCCCCTGGGACTCCAACCCCGCGAATCAGCCGTGACGGCTGCGTCCTGACAATCCTAAATTTTGACGGAACACCTTTCCTGGGATGTCAACATCGTGAATCAACGCTATTGTTGCGCTCCGACAACCTTAAATCGTGCTATAACACTTTTCTTGGAACTTCGACCAGATGAACCCTTGCAGCTGCTGCAAACTTACGAGACGGATGCACGCGGCGCTAAAACAAGAGCCACATTCTGAAACGGAACCGCCTTCCATCTTTGAAAGTGTTGCGAAATATCAAGTCGAATGTGCACGGCGCTCAAGCGAGAGCCACATTTGGAAAATGGCCCGCCCTCCATCCGTGAAGTTGATGCAAACTTTTAAGATGAATGTGCGCGGCGCTCAGGCGAGAGTCACATCCCGCCCTCCATCCGTGAAATTGTTGCACACTTCAAGTTCCAGGATCATACGTGATGAGGAAGTCTCCGGCGAAACGCTAGACCGCCCAACCAACACGTCTGGGGGTGTGACGGAGAGAAGCGACTTGCAAGAAAGTGGGATGGAGGAAGACGACAGGGAAGAGGTAGGAGCAGGAGGCAGAAGGACGGAGAGGATGCAAGGGGGGTTGGATGAGCAGGTCGCCCCGCCGGCTGGCAGGATGGCGGACCACAGCGAGACGTTGCGCCAGGAGCTGCGCCTGGAGGAGGCCCGGGTCGAGCGCGCCAGCGTGGAGCTGCGCAGGCTGCGCGAGGAGGCCCTCGCTGCCGAACGGCACTCAGAGGAGAGACAGAGACCACCGCCACCGAAAACCCATCGGGGGGCCCCAGCCTCTGGGCGGTGGCACGCCTAAGCGCCTGAGGTGGCGCTCGGGCGTGCCACCGCCCAGGGGTCGCCCCCCCTGCTTCCTCGATGGGTTCTCGGTGCCCCCCCAGCACCTCTCTTCGGGGAAGTCCAAGAGGGGGTGAGACTAGGGGTGTGTGGGTATCATGGCTGGGGCCATGCTATCTCCCAGATTGCATGGCCCTCATTTTTCTTTTCATGCTCTCCTTGCCCCGACCACCCCTCGTCCGCGCACGCGCCTCGGGCCATGATGCGCCTTTCGCTGCCCCCCTGGATGCCCAGAGGTCCGCAACAAAAACAGTATCGTCGATTGCCCCCACCGAGGAGAGATGATCCTCATTTCTGCGATGGTGGTGCGTACGAATCGGGTCTCCTAGGTGGCCGAAACCAGCAACACCACAATCGAGGATAATCTTCCCCCTGGTGGAGGCCCCCCCCTATATCTCTTTCATCCCTTCCCTTCCTCCTCCTCCTCCTCCTCCTCCTCCACCTTTTCCTCCTCCTCCTTTCGTTGTCTTGGCTCAAGGCCTGATCCGTGCACCGTGCCCGCTTTGGACCCGCCCTAGACATTCTGTCCTCGACCATAAGACGCGGTACTTTTTACGGAAAGCACCATCTCTTTTCTTACGTCATCATTTCTAGTTGGTAGTGGAGCAGGTTCACCCCTGCTCTCACCACGGCCGCCATGTCTCGCTTCGGGTCGACAGCAATGGTTTCCACCCTCCGCCGCCTTCGACTTCAGTCAACCGCCTTCAGCATCTACGACTTCGTACATTTCCTCCCCTTCGCTCTGGCAGGAAGCCTTACTTTAGGGTCCGCCTGGGCTGCACCAGCCAATTTGCCTGGACCCGCTACCCGGAACGTGCATACCGCCTTCAACACTTCAGCTTTCGTGCGCCTTTTCCTGCTCACTCGGGCAGGAGACGTTACTCGAGGGTCCGTCGGGGCATCCGCCCATCCGCAAGAACCAATGACCGAGAACGTGCGCAACCAGTACCTCGTCAAAGACAACATCACCAATATCCACAATGACCGCTTTGCGACTCATCCCGGTCATGCCCGGATTGTGTCCAAGCGCAGTTCGCGGGCCCCGAATTGTCACCGCCCCCGCCCGTGGGGACATCCGCATGTGTCAGACAGCAGCTGCCCGACACAACGTTCACATTTTCGGCGTCAGAACAAGGCCCCGAGCTTCTTGTGATTGCGTCTCGAGAGCCCTGGGAGAAGCAAGCACGGAAAAGGCATCTGGCGATTGCGTCGCCGGTGCCGAGCGGGGAGGCAGTGAGAAATCAGGGAACTGCATTTTCTGTCCCCCGAGGTAAGTCAGCGGAGGGCATGACGACCGGGGCGCCATCGTTCCGAGGCACCACGCTTCGGGGCCCGACCCGTCGCTCCACCCACTCAGCCCCGCCAGCCCGGCAGGACGCGACCACGATGCCCGCTCTTTTCGATGGTCGCGCAATTGGCGGTGCTCAGTACAGCGACAGCACAACGTGCGAAGAGCTTTCCCGCGAATGCGTCGCGGGATGCTTGGAGCGCCACGAGCGTTACAGCGGCGCGACAGAAACAGACGCCCGATGCGCTGGCGAGGAGGAACGCATTGGGGCAAGTTTCCTCGGCGACTTACGCAATGCTGCACGAAGGTCTGCGGTGCGTGGAGGGAGCTGCGCTCCGTATGGAAGGCCATCGGGGTGGGCATGTTCGCCATCGCAAGCTGCGTCGCCTGCATGGGCGCAGGTGGCGGCGGCGGCGACGTGCGCCACGTCCGAACCTGGGGGCCCGAGCACCAGGCTCGCGCGCCTTGCCAGAAATTGCGCGGACGAATGGCCGCCGGCCGCCCTGACCCACGGGGGTCTCATCAACGGCAGCCCAGCGCCACCGATGACCTTCGCCATGCGCACCTCGGCCGGACGATGGGGCCAGCTGGGCGAGGAGGAGCGCGCCTCGGCAGCAGCGGCCCTAACGAACTCTCACCGACTGCCGCGGGAGCGCATCGGCAACCTCCTGACGAGGTTCGACATCCTCCGCAACTGGGCGCTTCCAGCTAGTCAAATCCTGATCGGCCATGAGGGGCTCAGCTTCCTTTTGCTGCGCGCCTTTGGCGCGTCGAACACTCGACCCACCATGCCCCCGCAGCGCAGGGGCATGGCCTACCCCGCCAACGCTCAGCAGCCCGCCCAGATGCTTGGCGAGCTTAGACGCTCGGGGCACGTGATAGCTGATAGAGGCGTCGCCAGGCAACCTCGCCTCGGCGGCCCACTCTGCCGAGCGGCATGCGTTCCCCACGGGCGCGCCCACGCAGGAGCAGAGCTGGGGCGGCATGGGTCCTGCAGCGCTGAGGTCCGCGCCAAGCTCCCCTGCGCCAGCCGCGGACTCGTCTGGGGGCTGCGCCTCTCGCGCGGCGCCGCTATGTGCCTGGCGGCAGAGATCGACTCGGGCGCTGACGCCGGCGCCGGCAGCTCGTTCGAGAGGACATCGCCGCCGACGACCCCGAGTAGCGCGACATCCCCGTGGAATATCGTGGCGCGCGCCACTTCTGGGCTTGGGGGAGCGCCGAAGCGCGCCCGCGCGGCTCCGACAGCCGCGAGCCCGCGCCACGGTCGGAGGGTCATCAAACGGAAGCGCAAGGGCAAAGGGAAAACCGACCGCTTTTGCCTGGCCACCTTGTCCGAGAATGACCTCGGGGAGACTTTCGCGGGCTCCGGGGAGGGCCCAGGGAATTGGACGAGGGAAGTTCAGGATCGTGGGCATGGGTTCGGGCCGCCAAGGCATTCCCACGTGCCCTGGCGGGGCGCGCCCTGGCCCGGGTTAGCGAGCCGCTCGCGGCCGCGAGGCGGCCTCGCCTGTTGGCTGGCCCGGCATTGCGAAGACGCGCGGTGCATTTTTTCCCTGCGTTGCAGTTTTTTGGTTTCCTGCTGGCCCGGGTCTGGATTGACCCGGGTCAGAAGATCCCCGAGCGCTCTTTTCCTCGTCTCCTACGCCCCAGCACCGCCATCAGCGCCAGCATCCTCGCCGCATGTTTTTCCGGGGCAGCAAAGCCTGCGGGGGCCGACCGAGCAGCGACCCGCGCCAGGGGCGCGCGCGGTCTGGAGGGCCAGGGGCACCTCCGGGACTCCTCGGCCCGCGGCAGGGAACATTGGGGCCGCCGATCCATTGCAGAGCGCCGAGCCCTGGAACGACGGACAGCCAACTCCAGCAGCGCCCGCGCCGCGGCCGTCAGCACCAGCGGCCATTCCGAGTTCTTCGTCGGGCGGCTCGCGGCAACCGATGGGCCGCGACCGTTGGTCAAGTCGGGCGGGGGCATCGTCGTCTTCCTCGCCCTCGCCGCGCGAGGCCGAACTACGGCGACTACGTCGGGGGGTGGCCGACCTCGCAGGTCGCGCGCAAGCCTCTGCGGCGCCGACGGCCCGGGCGACTGCGCCGCGGTCCGTCATGCAGCAGCGGGAGAAGCACCGCCGGCCGCGCCGGCTTCAGGGGCGCCAACAGCGCCGGCAGCTCCTCAGCGGCGCCACCACCACCAACGACACCACAGCGGTGGATATAAGTGGGCGATGCAATCCCGCTGGGACAAACCCAGGGGCGCGATTGGATATGCGACCTCAACGCACGCGTCGCCGCGCCCCCCGCCCAGTCTGCCGACGTGCCCTTGCCGAGCTGGGCTTGCGCGCCGTCAGTCTCAGCCCTCGGCGTCGTCGCACCGCGCGCATCGAGCTCCACGTGGCCACCGCAGTCCGCGCCGCCAGCTGCGTCGCCCCCCAGTGCTGGCGTCTCCCCAGGACTTGGCTCTGTTCGATCAGAACGGCCCAGTCAGCCCGAGCCAACCGCCCGGGGGAATGGCCGCGCGGTTCGCCGGCCGCGACACCTGGATGTCTGGCAGCCGCCGATCCGAGCGCAACGCGCACGCCGCCCTCGATCGCGCGCAACGACGGTACCTCGATGAGCTCTGCAGCACAAAGCTGGCGCTTGAGCTCGTGTGGCAGCAAGATGAGCAGCGGCGCCAGGCCGCGCAGAGTTGGGCGGAGACACAGTGTTCATCGCCCTCCTGCGCTGGTCGCTGCGCCGACTGCTCCGCCCCCCTCAGTAACGGCGTTCAGCGGCGACGACGGGGAGCGCCCTATCTTCCTTTCGGCACATCAACGCGACGCGTCGCTCCTTGCGTCACCGCGCTGCTTTCTGGTCTCCTTTCTCGCGCGCTCTCAGGTTTCTGGGGTTGCGTCTCCCTGGTGCCGAGGGCCAGGGTCGCGCGGTCAACGCTCAGTCCGATATACCTCGAGAGCTCCAGGCTTACTGGCCCCCTGTTTGTAAACGGGCGCACTCTGAGCATCCGCAGGTTCGACGCTATCTTGATGAGCGCCCCGTCCACGTTCCAGCCCTGGAAGACGCCCGTCTCCCTGACGCGCGCGATCTTGCTCGTGCTGCCCTTCGCGCTCGCCCGTCGGCGCCTGGCCCTGATGGTCTGCCGCGCGACGCCTGGAGCAGATGCGGCAGCTCGCGGCCGCTGGAAGTCTTGGCCGCCGCGGGCCTGGAAGTCGTTCAGGGCTTTCCGCCGCCGTCGGACCTCAACGACCACCTCGTGGCCATCCCCCCGAAAGGCACAGAGGGCGCGGGCACGGAGGTCGCCATGAACCCGTTCGTTGCGCACGTGGAGTCCAACATCAACTCCTTCTCCACCTCGGCCCTCGGCGTCTGCGCGGGCGCCGTCGGCGTCGTTGTGCAGGGCCGCCGCATTTTGCTGCGGCTCTGGCGCGCGTTCCGCGCCGCCGAGATCCTTGCGGGGCTCCGCTCGAAGATCCGCAAGTGCGAGGTCGTTCCGCTAAGCGACGCCTTCAGCGCCGCGCTCGCCGACTCCACTCGCGGCTGGTTCGAGGTCGCCCTGCCGGCATGGGGCCCCGCGGACATCGCGCCCTACGCCGAGTGCCTTGGGTGGCAAAAGCCCGGCGCCAGGCGGATCGACCGCGTCCGTGAACGTGCTCGGGTTGGAGCTCCAGTCCACCTCTCGACGGTGATCTACAACTCCCGTATTCTCTCGGTCTTGGGCCACGTCATGCAGCTGGTGCCCGTTCCGCTGTCGTTGACGCGCCGCGAGTCCTGGGCCTGGTGCAAGATCTGGCACCTCCCGCCTCAGTCGTTCACGAGGAATGGCATCCTGGGCCTCGCCTCGCGGTCGGCGCTGCGCCCTGCCGGCATGATGGTGCTCAGCGCGGCGACGCGCATGAGAGCAGCGCTGCCAACGCCCGCGCACTGGCGGCCGCTGGTCGCCGAACTCAGGAAGGCCATCGCGGAGCACGGCGCGTTGGCGGAGATTGTGAGCGGGCGCCTCGCGCCCGCCTTCTGGCGGGCGCCGCCGCTGGTGCAGCGCGCGGAGGCGGCCTCGCTCGGCCAGTTCGGGGCCAAGGCGCTCAGCGAGGCTGCCGCCTGCGCTCTCGCCGCCTTGGATGCGCAGTCGGGGCCCGGGCGGGCGCGCGCGCAGAGGCTTCTCTCATCGTCTCTACGTTCGTCTCTCCTTATCGATGCTTTGCAGGGCGCGGTTTTGAAACGTTTGGCCTCGTGGGGCGTTAATTTTTGCTGTTGCGAACTGAGCTCCCCTTCGGGACCTGGCCAAGGATGGCAGACTGTGTTCGGGGCTGGCTCACCAGTGCCCGTCTGCATTGCCCCGAGGTTCGTGGCTCTAGGTTTCAGTGTGTTGATTGTCGGGGTGACATGTTTCACTATGTTCGGTGTCCGATTTTGTGGAGCCTTGTGTACCCAAATGAGCCCCCCGCTGGTCTCGCCACGCGCCTTGGCCTTGCTGGGTCACCGACGCCAGATGAGGTGGAGAGAACTGTTCGTGCGTATCACACGTGTAACGTTGTTCACACGGCTCCTGACCCTGGCCCTCTCGATTCCTAGGCTGCCAGAGACCGCTGCCACTATGCTATCCGCAGGGCTATACAGGTCCTGGTAGACCACCTTCGAGCGCCCTTCTAGGCTTAGTCGGACGTTTCGTGATCGACATTCAAGGTACGAGCGATTTCCACTACGGGAACTGCCTCGTCGGGGGACATCCGTTTGAAGATCCCGAAGCATGCCCAGACACCATTCCCAGGGCTCCAACGCCACGGATCAAGCTGATTGTAGCGTCTTGACGATCTGAATCGTGCCAGGACACCGTTCCAGGGATTGCAGCGCAGCAAATCCAGGTAATTGTTGCACACGCACAATCCGGAATCTTTCCTAAACATAATTTCTGGTACGTTGACAATGGGAATCCGTGATTTTGAAAACGAGCACCCTCAATCCGTGAAGGTCTTGCAAGTTTTTAAGGCGAGGGTGCGCGGCATGAAGACGAAAACCGCATTTCGAAAACGAACCGTTTTCATTTGTGAAATTGTTATCATTCAGGAGGGGAAGAAACACACAGACACAGTTAATCGGCAATTCCCAGAAAATATAGGAAAATATGGGAAGTGGGGGGGAAGACAAAAACCCAGAAAATACGGGAAAATATGGGGAATCTTTTTATTTGTGTGTATTTATTTGTGTGTCCCAGGGCCCCTTCAATCATTTGTTCAGCTTCAGGGCCGAACATTGGCGAGGACGTCTCAGGCGCCAGCCCGCCCTTTCGACCGGCTTCGGGAGGAGGAAGAGGAAGAAGAGGAGGAGGAGGAGGACAAGGAGGAGGAGGAGGAGGAGGAGGAGGAGGAGGAAAGGAGGAAAAGAGGAGGAGGAGGCGGATGAGGACGATTCGTGCTTTGTTGGGGCCTCCACGGACACATGATGAAGTTGGCCTTCTTGTGCGCTCTCTCTTTCTCTATCGTTCTCACTCACTTTCTCTCTCTCTCTCTCACTCTCTCTCTCTCTCTCCTTCTTGCTCTCACCCTCACTTGGTTCTGCTACCTCCGCTACCTCCAAGCCGCCGCAGGTGATTCAGCAGGAAGGCGTGCCCGTCCACCAGGCTTGAAGGGAGGGTGGGGCCGGCGGGGGGGAGCGAGCGGGGGGGGATGGGAGAGGGAGGAGAGGACGGGAGGGTCGGAGGGATGGACGGATGAGATGGACAGTGCCGGAGGAGGAGGAGGATTAGGAGGAGGAGGAGGAGGAGGACTGGTGCAAACCCAGGACGCGCCAAAGATGCTGAAGTACACCCTCCCCTCCAAGTTCGGTCTCCATTGTTCACTACAGTAAGTTTTTCTCATTGTGGGAAGTGCCCCTTTGGAAGGCAACCGTTCGAGAGCGCCTCGAATCAACCAGACTGCTGCGTCCTGGCAATCCTAACTCGTGCCAGAATAGCCATCCCTGGACTTCAACGCAGCGAATCAAACTTACTGGGATTTCACCCATACGAATATTTCAAACTGCTGCAGACATTCAAGACGAACGTGCGCGGCGGTAAGGCGCGGGCCACATTTTGAAACGGAGCCACCATCCATCCGCGAAGTTGTTGCTAATTTTGAAGAGATATGTGCGCGGCCGTAAGGCGACAAACACAATGGTGAGAACGGCCCGCCCTGCATCTGTGAAGCTGTTGCAAACTTTTAAGACGAGTGTGCGAAGCGCCTCGGCGAGAGCCTCATTTCGAAAACGTCCCTCCCTTCCATTCATAAAGCTGTTGCGCCCTTTTAAGACGCATGCGCGCGGCGGTGAGGCGATTGATACTGTTTTTTAACGATCCGACTTCCATCCCTGAAACGGTTGCAGCTTCCAAGCTTCAGGATCATAAGCCGCGAGGCGTTATCAGGCGAAACGCTACCGACACGTTTGGGGGTGCAACAGGGAGGAGTTATCTATAAGGAAAATGGATT